GCGTGACGCTAACGCCTCCCATGTTTGGCCTGCTGGTGCTTTCTGCTGGAGAAGCCAGCGGCTCGGATGCCCTGCCGCACCGAGGCCGTCTCCAGGAGCCTCCTCACCCCCCCCCCCGCTGGATGCAATGAACCCGGCGAACCCCTCGTCCTCCTCTCTGCTCCCCTCGGATCTCCTCCCTCTCCTTTTAGGTCCTGTCAGTTTCAGCGCGGGACTCAAAGCCAACTGGGCTTGATCCCAGAACCGGCCCGTCAGAGCGGACCAATCAGGAGCCGCTCTGGGGGTCACCTGATGCAGTGATGGAGAGTCGACAGAGAGAACAAAGCGCTGGTCAGAGAATGAAAAACAAAACGCTCTGAATCAACAAGTCAGAACTTTCCCTGTAATAAGCCATAAGTCTGAACCAAGGACCCCCCCCCCATCCCTCTAGAGCTACGCTACCTGCGCTAAATATAAATATGTAATAATATTGATATTATCAAGTACTAACACATTCTATTCAGTTTATTTCTATAGCTCCAATTCACATCATGTCATCTCAGGTCACTTTCCAGTTCACCAGATCATCCAGTCAGATTGATTCAAAGTTTTCTATCTAAGGAAAACCAGCTGATTGCATCGACTCATTGACTCTTCAGCAATCCCTCACACTAAGCATGCTTGTAGCGACAGTGGAGAGGAAAAACTCCCTTTGAACAGGAAGAAACCTCCAGCAGAACCAGGCTCAGTGTGAGCGGCCATCTGCTGAGGCCCACTGGGGTTCAAGGAGGCAGAGATGACATGATGTGAATTGGAGCTATAGAAATAAACTGAATAGAATTGAATCGATTTCAGTGATGGAACGTAGAACAAGGAAAAGCCCTAAACACACAAAGTTGAGTTATTTATTCTTGAGCTTGTAAATACAGTCATAAACAGGAAAACAGAGTGTTTAGTTTTTCAAACATGCCTTTTATGTTTTTATCTTAGAACTCAGACTCTGTACAGAAATTATTTGTTTTGCAATAAAAAAAAGTGTTTTTTCAGTTTTTTTTCACTGATAATTTTATAGCCAAAGGTTCCTTAAAAAAGATTTTTTTTACAAACTCTAACTTTTCCACTTGCAGAGTTCTGGATGGAGCACATTGACAGACTGAGAGGTTTTTATTATCTTAGATGCAAAAATGTACAGAATGTTTTGCTATTTTGCTATAATTCCTGCTCTAAATGGGTCACTCTGTCTGATAAAGGCCTGTTTTAGAGTCGCTATACTCCAGTTAATGATTCATTGATTAATAAATGAGTTATTTCCATAATCAATCAATCTGATTAGCTGTTTCAGTCCTAGTTTTTTCCTGATCAGTTGGTGTGGATTTGAGTTTTATTGATGTTTCACTATAACTTATAAGGTTTTGGTGAAACATTAACGACCGCCTGGCTCTACTGTTCTCTGATGTGATGATGGGTTAATCTATGCAGTGATGCAGACCTGCTGCAAACATGCGGCTCAGTCTGGGGTTGAACCGTCCTGTTTGACTTTGGTCACGCTGGCCTTGATAACTCAAAGAAGGTTGGTTCATTTAGCGCGCTGCAGCCTGAACATCTCTACGCTCACTCCTTTATTGAATCACTGTGCAACAGACTGGATCCTCTTTAATAGGGATTTATGAGCATGAAAAATACAGATTAGAGTGTGAAGGTGTGAAAATATTGAAATGCAGATGCCTCACGGTCAATGTGTGAGATTTGAGAGGCCTTCAGCTGCAGGCCTGCAGGGCTGAGGCTGGCAGGTGGAAGAAGTTCAGCTTTATTTCTGCAAAAAGTCGTCAGGCTCTGATAGAAAAACAAAGTTAGAACAGCTCTGGCTAAACACCCCAGGTCCTAAAGAGCTGCAGTTCATTTCAAAGTTTGTCGCAGCGCATAATCCTCTCTGCTTTTTTATGGCTGCAAAGTTAAACCTCTTTGGTCGACTGGCCTCCAAGTCGCCCTAATGCTACGTTCAGATCAGCAGGAGCAGCAGAAACACGCGTTCTGCTTCATTTTTGCTGCTTGTACCAGTTTAGTTCTGACGCGCGGCTGAAGCATCTCTGCTGCTCTAGCTGCGCGGTGGTAAAGTGGGTCTGATGCGCGGTGGGCGGAGCTACTCTATCCTTTCTCTGCCTGGAACAATGGCGGCTATATTAGCTGTGATCAGCGGGTAGAAAGTAGTTAGAATCTATGTTGAAGTGAGAAAGTCCTCCTGAAAACATGGTCTGTGCAGTCAGTTCATCCAGATTACCATCCTGCCTTCAAAGATTATTTCTCTGTGGGAGCCGCTCAGACCCCCACATACCGGCGCTGCGCTGTCACTGGGAATCCCCAGCAGCAGCTGCCTCAGGCCCGCTCGCCTCTCCAGGGTTTTCCCCTCCTGTTGGTGGCGGCTGGAAGTAGATGTTAGCGTTTTTCAGGTCTGTGCTACAAACTGCAGGCAGCAGGATAATAAAAGCCAACATATTCTGCCGGCAGGTTTCTACATTTGAAGTTAATTTAGGCGTTAATAAACTGTTTCAGAGGAGTGATCATAGCGCTCTGCATCAGCAGTGCTGCGTCTGACTCCCTGCCAGCTCCCAGATCAGCTTCTCTCATTGGTTGATGTCCAGCAGCTAAAGGTCAATGTTTCCAGCAGCTGCTGCTTCTGAAGCGCCTCAGATGCTCAGAAGCTTATGAGGCGCCAGCGTGCAAACTGATTGTAGCATAAGGGTTGGTGTCTCTGCACGCCTTACTGGCTAGCTGGTAATCATGCTAGCTGGGAGTGTAGCATCGTGGCCAGACTTTAACTTCTCCAGGTGTCTCTCCACCTTTTGTCCTCTGAAGGCTGCAGAGAGGCAGCGGGCGAGCCAGGTTCCCTCTGTGGCCTCTAGAAGAATAGAGAGGAATGAAAATGATGTTCCTCGTCCCTCAGGGGGGAAATAAACACAGGGTGAACACAAGGTGTGGGAGGGCAAACGTGCAACACAAGAAGAAACACTTCATGGCTATAAGTTATTAAAGACAGCAGGATGCAGCATCTAATCAGGCTTCAGTGGAGACATTCATCGAATTACAAATTCACAGAGGCCGTACCAAGTGAGTTTTCAAAACCGGGATGTTACAGAATCAAGTCTTTTTCAACAATGTTGATTTTCTTTTTAACGGTGATTGTCTCAAAATGAGACCAAACCAGTGCAGCTAAATACCTTATTTAAAAGACAAAGTTAACTAAAGTGTTGGCACCAAACATTTCTGTAAATCATCAACTGTAATCATGAAAATAAAAAGCTGTTTTCCTGCTGTTTAGGGATGAAGTGAGATGAATACAGAAAATCGTTCCCTTGACCAAATGATATTCCAATCTGATTCTTAGACACGTCTAAATGCTCCTGATTCACGGTTGGCATTAACAATCCGGGCTTCCTTAGAACACATGCCAACCCCACGGTGGCTGAATGTGGCTGTAAAGCTTTTTGATTCAATCAATGAATCAATTAGAACGTATTTATAGCCCTTTAAAACAACCAGCAGGAATCCAAAGCGATTAACAAAATGAGTAGAATCACAAAATAGAAAGTGTGAACATAGAAAACACTAAAATTAAGAAGGTTACAAAGAAAACAAACAAATAAAACTGTCAAACCGCTGCTAAATATTAAAGGAATAGACCGGTCAGCAAAGAATAATCAATGGATCATTATTTATACCTAAAACTAATAGTTCCGCAGTGATTTAATGAATTTAGCGTTAATCAGTAAAAAAATAAAAACAGAGAGAAAACCCGTAATATGTAGCCAGCATTTGGAAGAAGAATGTTTTCAAGATGACTTGGATAATAGCGCGTTGTGACAAACACCAGATACAGCACTGGGACTTGTTTGGGGTAACGTGTTCCAGAGTCTCGTGGCAGAAACTGCAAAAACCAAATCACTCCAGTGTTTATACCTTCACCTTTGGCTTTTAAAACCAGCTGACTTGAAGACCGCACTGACCGGTTGTTCTCCCGCAAAGTTAAAATTTGGACGAATACTCTGGGGTAAGACCATTTAAAGCTTTAAAAACAAACAATAAAATCTTAAAATCTATTCTAAAATGCACCAGGAGCCAAAGCAGAGCGTGGAGAACAGGGATGATGAATGATTGGTCAGTTTGACTACCAATGGTCCAGAGGTGTCGCTCTGATTGAGGGAAGGACTGATATGAGAAGCAGACAGAATTAGACTTGAGACTTGACCATGACCTAACCTGACTCCGCCAGATGGATTAGCTCCACATATCCATCTGGAAACCTTCCGTTGAAGTAATTTTGGGAAGGGGTGAAAATACTGGTTAGCTGATTGGCCTATGTGTTCTTTCAGTGAAGAAATACTCTGTAATTCCGATAAAACTTGCTCGATAGCCACGCTAACGCTAGTTTCATCGGCTGAAGCCGCCATGTTCTTTAGACTGAACTGTCGCGCTTCTCGTTGCATCACACCTCAACCCGCCTCAAAGCCAACGCTGATTGGACGTTCGTTTGGTGAACGGCTCCAAATTTTCTTTAACGGAGAGTCTCCAGACTGATTAGCGAGTGAAACCTTGAAAGCTCGCGAGATCAGGATGGTCTCACGAGGCTAACCATGACCAGGTTCTCAGTGAAATCTCCTTAAAAGATTAGTTTTTTGGTAAATGCTGCGTTCAAACGTTCTCACATGTCAGAGATTCGTGTTTAAATGCTATAACCAGGCAGATGGGTCAACGGACTCAATGTTGAGCTTTTCTAGTCCTACCAACCAAAGTTTGGGATTAAGTGCATCACCCAGGGCCACATAAAGATGATGTCTCCAGTTGGTTTTGTTTGGTTTTCCTGTCAAACCATCCCGGTTCATAGTTTGGAGAAACTTCCTCCTCAGTCAGGTCTAAGGAGAAGACATTCCAGCACTTTGTAAAGTTCATTCCCTGTCAGATGTTCATGTTTTGGTTAACTATCTGGGGATTGATCAGATTTCCTCTGTTTTTGCTTTGTCCAACAGATGAAAAGACAAACCCAAAAAGTGGTCTGTACTTCCTGATCTCCAACGAAGGTCACCAGAACCTCTTTGTGTACCAGGCGAACCTCTGGCTGTACCTCCGTCTGCTGCCCTCCGGACCCGAGAGGGGACTCCGGAGAAAGGTCACTATCAGAATTCACTACCAGGAGGCTGGGGCGGAAGGAGCCACAGCCGGGGGTTCAGGGGGGCACTGGATCCTGGTGGAGAAACGTGTTGACCTGAAACGCAGTGGCTGGCACACCTTCCCGCTGTCCGAGGCAGTGCGGGCCGTGTTTGGCAAAGGCAGCCGAAGGCAGGACCTGGAGGTGCAGTGCGAGGACTGCAACACTGCCGGAGTGGCTCCGGTGCTGGTGGACCCAGGCGACCCGTCCCACCGGCCCTTCCTTGTTGTGCGCGTGAGGCAAACGGACGGAAAGCACCGCATCCGCAAGCGGGGCCTGGAATGCGACGGCACCAGTGGTGGGTTGTGCTGTCGGCAGCAGTTCTACATAGACTTCCGCCTCATTGGCTGGAACGACTGGATCATCGCTCCGGCCGGTTACTACGGCAACTACTGCGAGGGAAGCTGCCCGGCCTACATGGCCGGCGTCCCAGGCTCGGCTTCGTCATTCCACACAGCGGTGGTCAACCAGTACCGCATGCGGGGGATGAGTCCTGGCTCAGTGAACTCCTGCTGCATCCCGACCAAGCTCAGCACAATGTCCATGCTCTACTTCGACGATGAGTACAACATCGTGAAGCGGGACGTTCCCAACATGATCGTGGAAGAATGCGGCTGCGCCTGACCGTACCCGTCAGAAACCACCCTAAGAACAAGACTCTTCTGTGCAAAACATGCATCCATTTATCTGAGCAAACGCGCCGCGCTGGTCTAATTCAGGAAGCGCAGCACCAGGGGACGTGTCATCATCCACAGGAAAAGACGGGAGGGATGTCTACCAAATTATACCTTGCTCTAGTTTGCCATTTCTAGCTAAAAAAATAATGGCCCATCATCTCCTCTGAATGAAGTTGTTCTCTTTTTAAAGCGCTTAAAGACAAAGACAGGATGGACCAGTCAAAGTGCTGGTATCAAATCTTCTTCCAACCCCTCTGAAGTACTTAGAAAGTTTTCATAAAGCACTGTCTGATAGAAACAAGAACACCAGCACTTCCCCACGGTCGACCGACGCGGTCCGACTGTCCCTCCCGGTGGAGTTTGACCAGCAGCGTCTGCAGCGGCGGAGGCCGGTCGGAGTTTGTTACCGAGCCGCTGCTCTGCCAATCACTAAGGTCTCAGAGGTGCACTTTGCCTGAACCTGTGGACTCGGAGACGCCACAGGGCGGTGCAGCACTTGCAGGTACTGAAATGCACACCCTGAATAGCACTTGTATACGAATGCCTTCCTAGGGTCAGATCGCTAAACAAGTGCCACATGAGCTATGCAATGTGTAGAAGAACCCTATAAAACCCATAATAGACTTTAGACTGAACTTTTTCTTCCTTTCCTGAGTCTCATCTTCATTCCTCAGCTGTTTAATAATACTTGAAATGTGATCCTTCGCTTCGGTCCAAAGCGAACGATTGTTGTGATGTTTGCACTGAAAGGTTGTGAATTTAATGACACAGAAACTGCCATTGAAAAGTTATTTTTGTAAAGATAATTTGAAAAAAAAAAGTTTTATTGTGGAGACGTAATGAAACCAAAGAGGCCCGGACTGAGCGGCGGTGGCGAGGCCCCGCGGCAATGGGAAGAAAAAGGCCGATCGCCGTATTCTCATTTCTCAGCTCTTTCTTCATCCTTTTTTTGTACAATCGATATGATTTGATTGTTCATCTTAATTTTATTTTTGTTTTGTTTTTTCTATTTAATGAAAAAGTTATTTTTAGTTCATTTTGAATCATTAAGTAAAATAAATGTCTCTGTACAGTTTATGTAATATAAATGTTTTCTTAAATATTTTACAACTAAACGTTTTTTGTGTCTTTTGTGTTTTTTTTTTCTTCCTGTTTGGTTTAAATCTTTTCCCTGCAGTTGGAAGGTTGTTGGGATGAAACATGCAACAAGTTTGAGTTTCCATCTGCATCCCGATTCCAAAGGAGTGGAGCCGTTCCTCTGTTTCTATTTACATGTTTTAGAAACAAAAACGAGGTTTTGTTTGAATGCTGGATAAAGCAGAGGTCATGAATTAGTGGACCGGGGTCCGGATCCGGAGCCTCCAGTTTTGGTTTAACTGGTTTACTTATTTTTGTAGGAAATGAAAGTTGCTGCTTTCCTGACTTAATTAAATCAGTTTTTAATGGAAATAACTCGTTAGCGTCTCAGAATGAAATACAAACCTTTTGTTGGGTTTTGCAGAGATCAGTCGTTTCTCAGCAGCTTCTGCAGGTTTCCTTCCTTTTTTTGACAGATTGTTGATGAGCTGCAGGTCTGTGAGCTTTCAGGAATGACCTTTGACCTTCTGCCACTGGCTGCTCCACAGCATTAAGATTCTGCTTTTTAAAGTGTTTAAACAAAAGATAAACCTTTATTTTTTATCCTCTTTTCCTTTAATACTAATCATTTTTGTAATCCTTCAGCTTATCGTTATTTTTATTTGTTTTTAGTCTCTTTTTGCTGCATAAACCGTGTCCAGAGAATCATATCAACGGTCGTTCTTATCTGACTACGTTCTACATCAGATCTTTCCATATCTTTTACCCCTCAGCCTTTAGTGGCAAAGTTTAGATTTTCTAGTCTAGTCCAAGTTTTCTTCAGATAAACTCCAGGGGACAATGCTGGATGGATAAATAGAAGCTACCAAGCTGGAAATAGAAATATGTGACTCAGAAATGCTGGTAGGATACCGCTAGCTATACGATTGAAGAACAAAACAGTAAAAAAGAAGAAAAGCTGTCAGAACTAAAAAGCGGGAGCAGCTCTCCTGCATCTAGAGCTGAAAGCAGCTTTATTTGCTCACCACCTCCCTTCACAGCGCTGACATCACAGCAACAAGGCGGGCTAAATGAATGCAGCGAGGCTAATGCTACATTCAGACCGCAAGCGGCAAAGGGTAGCAGATGCGGCTAGTTTCCACGCAGAAGGTCCTGCAGCGCGTCTAGAGCAGCAGGAGCAACTCATCATGAGCTTCTGAGGTGCGTCACAAGCTTCAGACGCAGCAGCTGCTTGAGTTGGAAAAAATAAACTTCTGCTGGTTTCCGATGGAAGCGCTGGAAGCGGCTCTCCTCAGCTTGGAGCTCCTTCAGTAGATGGTGAAACTCCCCACAACCTGAACGCCTCGGAATTATGTGGTGAATCCAGATACGACGCGCCCGACGACGCGCCCAACGACTGCGTTCTCTAGCTTTATTCATTAAAATAGGCCAAGCATCTCTCTTGATTTCATCCGCCATTGTTACAGGCAAGGAAATGATGGGGTAGCTCCGCCCACAGCGCAGCTATAGCAGCAAAGATGCTTCAGCCGCGCGTCAGAACTAAACTTGTAGAATTATAAAGAATGAAGCAGCACGCTTGTTTTAGCTGCGTGTCGTCTGAACGTAGCATAACGCTGTATCCTGCTTTCCCTGCCTCCTTTTTCAAACATCACGATCTGAGCCAGCATGGATGAACCAGCTAGGACTGATTTAAAGCACTTTGCAGAACAGTTTAGACGGCTGATTTTGGTTGTTAGCATTCATATAAATATACTGATGTGATACCCTAGTATACGTTTGGTTTTTGCTGTGTCTATTTTGAAGTTATAGCGCCCCCTGGAGAAAACTCTACCGGCCGAAACTGCTAAGATGGCTATTTTCTCTGAATATTAAACAATTAGTCGTCGACGCTTTGCTACAAAGTTTGCTCGCATTCAATCAATCAGTAAATCAATTTCTTTATTGTCAACGAGATTTAGGTGTAATTATGGCTGCCAGGGGCCCCACGGTGACACGGTTCCCTATTCCATCTCTGTGGAAAGATAGGAGCCAGATTGGGGAAGGAGAGAGGGATACAGTTTGAGATATATATCAAAGAAAAACACCTCACACGAAGCAGAAGAAAAGCAGATGTAGCACGAGACATTTCAGCCGAGGGAAAACATCGGAGGCTGGAGCCACATGAAGGTCGATCTGACATCTGAGCATCAGTTGTGTGTTTGATGAAATGTGTTCAATATGTCCTTTAACGTTTTCCACAGGCAATCGTCCTTGATGAGATGGAAGTTTACAAACCATTTCAGTTCTATTCAGTTTATTTCTATAGCTCAATTCACATCATGTCATCTCAGGTCACTTTATAGATCCAGATCAACCAGTCAGATTGATTCAAAGTTTTCTATCTAAGGAAAACCAGCTGATTGCATCGACTCATTGACTCTTCAGCAATCCCTCACACTAAGCATGCTTGTAGCGACAGTGGAGAGGAAAAACTCCCTTTGAACAGGAAGAAACCTCCAGCAGAACCAGGCTCAGTGTGAGCGGCCATCTGCTGAGGCCGACTGGGGTTCAAGGAGACAGAAGCAGACATAGAAAAAGAAGCATAGATACAAAAGGCAGCTGTCAACCAGCTCCACAGGCGGCCCCGTCCAGGAAACACACAGCCAGGCAGACGAGTATTAGAACTATCATAATCAGATTAAACTACTTGGGAAAACTTTACTTTTCATCAGTAAAAAATCTGTCAAAAAAGAGTTATAGCTGTTTTAATTTATTTTTATATTTGTATTTTTCATTGTAAATTCTTACTGTTGGTGTTTTCAGGTAGAAACCTTTAACATCTGTCCAGGGACACAGATGAAAACAGCCTTTTAGCTGATTCTGGTGCATTTGCAGGAATGCTTATTAATGTTCCTGTCAAACAAATATCTAAATCTAAACCTCTAAGAATTTATTGGTTCTGCAGACTAGTCTGCTGTTGTGTTTCTCAGCTCTAAGGGGTCCCTGGTTTAACCAGCGGCCCCCCAGTCCTGCTGGCTCTCATGCGTCCACCTGTTGCGGTTATTTTGCATGTGCATACAGATACGGCACATGCAAACTAACCGCCTGGCTCTGCATCACGGCGCTGTAGTTTCAGAGTCTCCAGCCCTTCAGGAACCTTCTGGAACAGCACGAGGCCTGCCTGCTGATCCTCACTAAATGCCTCTAATTAGCTCTCAGTGCAGAGCGGCACCATATATTTCCCTGCGAGGCAAATAGCTCAGCAGGGAGGGACGGTGTTTAAAAAGCTCTCTACCTGCTGGAGGTCTGATGAGGGGGGGTGGGCAGCTCCTTTTCCTCAGAAAACATGTCAGCAACACGGCAAGTGATTGACAGGCAGAAAGAAAAACATCTAAAACAGTCAAGATGGTGCTTCTTAAATAAATGGCATTCTTTGCTGGGGAGGACGGGGGGGGGGGACTGCTGTCTTGTCAGGCTTCCTAAAGCAGCCAAGAAGATCTCCCAGCTGGAATGTGGAATGTTAATGATGCTGCAGCTCCGGCTGCAGATCTGCACCATCATCCGTTTGCATCTGTAGCTCCTCCCCCGATGCACCAACAGCAAACACACCTTCAATCCTGCAGCCTCCTTCTATCAGCTTAAACAAATGTTGGCCCTTAGCCGCCTGACCCCCCCCCCCCCGACACCTCACCATCCTGGCTGGAGGTCATGGCAGCTGTGGCTCAGCAGGTCAGCTGCTTTATCTTTGCAATGTTTTCTTTTCTTCCACATCAGTTTGGATTCACTAATGAATTTATGACTATGTGACGCCTGAGGGCGCGCATTCCTGAGCCAGAAACCATCAGCTCCATCCATCACCTGCAGCCTGCGCCGCTTGGTTCTGGCTGCAGCCATGATTAAACTCCCGCCTTCGGTTTCAGGAATGATTCCTGCTTTAAGTCCGACTCTAAAACCAGAAGGAAGGATTCAGCAACTCAGAGCAACACGGAACCTTCAATCTCTGGCAGATTAGAGATTATATCAAACATAAAACATTGCTGCAGGTTTTTTAGTTTTTTAGTTTGATTGACAGAAATAAGAAAAGTTTATTCAACTTAGTATAGTAAATAAAATAAAAAGAAACATATTTACACATTTATAGCAAAGATACTCTAATTACACCTGGTAACCAAGTAGAGATTACACCTGGATTATCTAACCTAAACAGATCTACAAAGCTGAGCTCAGAGGTCCAAACTAAAGATCGATTATTTAATTTTTTCTTTTTTTTTTAACCTAAGTTTCAATTTCTGCCACTTATCTAAACGTATTCCTACAAACAGATGGTAAAATAAAAAGCAGCGGAGATTAAGATAAATGATTGAAATAAAAATAATAAAAAATACATAAAAATACGAGAGAAATATTATAATATATGATAAAAATTAAATCATGTATTAAGAGAATAAAGTCATAATATTAAGTCATTTCTTACCACAATTAAGTAAAATTACCAGGAAAAACAAACGTTATATGATATATATACATGTTTCTATAGATTAAAATGTAAACATTGTGATTTAAAAGTCTCATAAAGTTGTAATATGAAAAGAATCAGACTTAATTAGGAGATTAAAGATGATTCCAGCTTTAATTTGAACTCGAGTCCAGATGTTCGGTTCAGTTTGGGTGAACTTGGCTTATAAATGTGGAAGATTGAACTTTTTCTCTCTTTATATTCAACTTTAGTCTGATATCATTAGAACTTTATGATATTATAAGCTTATTTTCCTTGTATTAAGGTTTAATTCTCATAATATTAATAC